AGAGATGGGTTGCGGCTAGAAGGGCATCCGCTGTGTAAAAACTTGCTGGATAAGTTGGCGGTTCATTTCGCTGTGGCGACCCCGGATTAATAAAGGGACTAAGCCGACAAGAAAATGAATTAGAATGTACATGTATAAATTTGTCATTCCAATGGTCGAAAGAAATGTCAGCGGCCAATATTGCAATATTATAAAATATATTTTACATTAATGACATTTTATATATGCAAAATGTTAATAATGAACTTATATATGTACGTATATGTCATTTGCATATAGTTTCCTCTTCATATGAACCAGACACCTTCTTATAAACACTATGGGCCCTGTCATACACCTGCAAGATGGGTTTGGTGTGATTTGTTGCTATTTTCAGACCAGCGCAACTCTATTGTTCACATTTGAGCCACGTTATTTAAATAGCAAATCCATTCATGCCACTTTGTGGACTCATAGGTGTGCTGGTCTATAAAGGAGGTGTGTTTTGAGGAACTGAGATGGAGAGTTTTTATTTTTAAGACTAAAGTAAAGCCTTGTACTGCATCTGCTTTTCATGCTGCCTCTTGGCCAGGTCGTCATTGTAAATGAGAACTGGTTCTCAATTGACTTACCTGATTAAATAAAGGTTATTATTATTATTTGACTATTTATCTGTCACCTGTCAGTCCATTCATTTATTCATCTGTCCATCTATTCAACTGTCCATTCATCTATTTATCTATCTTTTTATCAATCTGACCATCCGTCTACTTGTCTATTTATCCATCCCTCCATCTGTTTGTCTATTTATCCATCCTTCCATCCATTCATCTATCCATACGTGCATTCGTCTATTTATACATACATTATACATCCATCCATCCACCCATCCATCCATCCATCCACCCATCCATTCATCCATCCATCTGTTTGTCTAATTATCCATCCATATATCCACCCATCCATCCAACCATCCACTCATCCATCTATGCATCTGTTTGTCTATTTATCCATCCATCCATCTATTTGTCTATTTATCCATCCATCTATCCATTCATTCATCTATTTATCCATTCATCCACCCATCCACCTGTCTATCCATCTGTTCATTTGTCTATTTATCCATCCATCCATTCAACCATCCACCCATCCATCTTTCCATCTGTTTGTCTATTTATCCATCCATTCATCTTTCTATCAGTGCATTCCTATATGTAATCATTGGCACATTTGTCTATTTATCCATCCATCCATCCATCCATCCATCCATCCATCCATTTGTTAATTTATCCATCCATTCATTCATCTATTAATCCATTCATCCATCCATCTATCTATCTGTCTATCCATCTGTTCATTTGTCTATTTATCCATCCACCCATCTACTTGTCTATTTATCCATCCATTCATTCATCTATTTATCCATTCATCCATCTGTCCATCTGTTTATCTGTCTATCCATCTGTTCATTTGTTTATTTGTCCATCCATCCATTCATCTATACTTCTATCATTTATCTATCCACCCATCCATCATCCAACCATCCATCTATCCACTTGTCTATTTATTTATCCATCCATCTACTGTATCCATCTGTCCATCCACCCTGTTTTTCCTAGACACTTAAATAAGTTTGAGATTAGAAAGTTTCTACTCAGATAAAGTTTCCTCACTGATGAGAGATTTTCCCATGCGTGTATTGATATGGATTGTGTGTCTTTAATCATACAGAGAAATACACAGATACACTACAAGTATAAAAATGTGAATGAAGTCGTCGCGCTCTTTCTGTTTCTCCAGCAATATCTCTTCAATATCGCCGCCACTCAGAAGATTAATTGAATCATATGTTGTTGTTGTTGTGCCGAGACCTTGTTTCAGAAAGAAGCAGCGTGTCTTTTGTGTCTCTAATTCTGCTTCCTCTTTCATACTTGGCTCTCCTCTTTCTATCGACTGTGCCATCTCTGTTTGCTCTTGTCTTCTTATTAGTTTTCGGATACGCTTCTCATCCCCGTGCCTTTAATCTCTGTCACACGCTCTTATGCTCTGCTGTGGCTTAATGAAATGTTGGTTATTAAGAGCTGTGTGTGTGTGTGTTTCTCTGCAGACGGAGCAGTTTGTTCATGCTCTGAAGGATGAGCTGGTGAAGAGCGCCCTCCTAGCGCTACATGCTGCCCGTCCCGGATATGTCAGCAAAAGTCAGACTTCTGCACCGTCCAGCCCACCGGAGCCGAATGAGGAGCCTAATGTGGTCTGCAATAATGTGAACAGCTCTCAAACACCGCTGAAAGAGAGCAAAGCGTCTCCTGTCCGCTCAGACTCCATCCCGCACCATAAAGAGTACGATGAGGAGGAATGGGCAAGTGATGTTGTAACGTTTTCTGATTCTATATGAAAGTGAGAGCACACTGAACACCTTAGAAACTGCACAGCGACACATTAGACAAAAACAGAGCGCCATAGGATTTCCACTAAAAACATTCAGGATACCTTAGAAACCGTATAGAAACACTGTGGCAGTCACTAATAGCTTCATAGCAACACAGTAAAGCCATGCAAGATTAGCAGCATTAGCTAAAACCTTTAGCATGTTAACTAAAGAATGACACAAACTAAAGGCTCATATTTAGGAGTGTGTTGTTTGTTTAGTCATTGTGGGTGTTAAATTGTGGTGTGTATCTCATGTAATTGCCTTCAAGTGTGTGTATGTGTGTGTGTGTCATAACCATGGCTAACAGGAGAGGATTAGAGGCCAAGATAAGACAAGCATCTCTAATCAATGGCAAAATAACTTGTGTGCCCTTGAGCGCCGCTCACAAGACGGAAATCCTGCAGCTCGCTCGACTTTAAGATCTCTGACTCTTTGAATATTCCCAGTATTCATTGCAGAAACAGGGTTTTCTGGCAGTATCTTTGACAGTCTTATTGCTTTCCTTTTTGGAAACATTAGAAGTGATGCTTTGGTAAATTTGCATAGAACAGTCGTAATAACTACAGCAAGTGTTTAAACACTTATAATTCTTCTTTATGGTACAATGAACTTTGTCATTATAGGATATTATTGTTGTTTTTTGTCTCTTTCCTTCCTGCTTCAGATTTAAACGCCAAAAGTTAAAAGTCAAAGTTAAAAGTCAGAAGTCTCTTTTGGTGCTTTAGACAATATTTTAGAGAAAAATAAATATTTTTGTTTTTGTGGCAGAGCATCATCTGAAACCCATCTTCTTCTGTCAGTTTGAGTGTCTGTGGTCTGTAATGTTCTTGTGTGTGTGACTCTTCTACAGTGTTTTTAATGAGACCAGAATCAGCAGGCTGACTTCATAAGCATGTCTAATTTCAATTACGATCTATATACATTCTGTTTCACTCGTCTAGATCTTAATTTAAGATTGAAGATAGGATGTTTCTGCGATAAGGATCCAGAAGCAAAATACAAGCGGCTAGGGATGTGTCATCTTTTGAAATCCATATACTGTACATATTCATATTTGTGTACTATACACAAATAATAACTTGACTTCTAGTTGATCATTTGTAAAAGTGGCAGAAGGTGGATTTTTCTGATGAATCATCTGTTGAGCTGCATCCCAATCATCACAAATACTATAGAAGACCTACTGGAGCCTGCATAGACCCAAGATTCTCACAGAAATCAGTCAAGTTTGGTGAAGAAAAAGTCATGGTATAGGGTTACATTCAGTATGGGGGTGTGCGAAAGATCTGCAGAGTGGATGACAACATCAACAGCCTGAGGTATCAAGACATTTGTGCTGCCCATTACATTACAAACCACAGGAGAGGGTGAATTCTCCAGCAGGATAGCGCTCCTTCTCATACTTCAGCCTCTATATCAAAGCTCCTGAAAGCAAAGAAGGTCAAGGTGCTCCAAGATTGGCCAGCCCAGTCACCAGACATGAACATTATTGAGCATGTCTGGGGTAAGATGAAGGAGGAGGCATTGAAGGTGACGGCAAAGAATCTTGATGAACTCTTGGAGTCCTGCAAGAACGCTTTTCTTTGCAATTCCAATAATATAAATATGACTAAAAAATAAAATAATAAAAAATAATAAAAAATTATATAAAGTATTTAAAATTATTTTAAAATAGGTAAAACCTACTGATTTAAAGGATAGTGGCAAAACTAGTAACAATGATTATTTAGTATCATTTAATCATTTAATATTACTGAAACATATTCTTGTTCTAAATAAGAATGAATTCTTTGGTTTATGAACTGTTGTTACACTGAATTGCATGTTAATGTGTGTCTTCTTTAAATCAAGATCCTCATAAAGATTTTGGGAGTGATTTGGGATTTAGATGTGTGTGTGATGTTTGTGTTAGTGTTGTTTGAGTAAAGTCTGCTTTGGCTCCTCTAGGACAGGGTCTGGGCCAGTGTGGCGAAGAGCTTGAACTCTGTCATTGCCATGGTGGAGAAACTACAGGAGCAGGACAACAACAACCAGGAGTCAACACCCTGTCAAACACTCGCAGACGTCATCACCTCACACAGTCCCGGTACGCCACAAACCCACATCAAACCACACTGAGGCTGAGTTCACACTGGGGCGATTGCTTTGATTAACCTATTATAGTGCGAGTAACCATATATGGTCACTTCATTGACATTAATTACAATATTTAAAAAAATATTATAAAAGTAAAAAAACAAAACTCCCAGTAACACTTCAAGGGTTTTCCAAAGAGTATTTCAATGAGTGCTCTATAAATAGTCAAAACAAACTAGCCTAGAGCGCCGTCTGCTTGCTGTTCAAAACTAGCCTAGAGCACTGTCTGCTTAACAGAACTAGCCTAGAGTGCCATCTGCTGTTCAAAGAGGCTATAAAAGAATATGCTAGTGCTATATAAAAGCAGCTGATTTTTTTATATGTAAGGGCAGTATCTGATTATGTGAGTGAGAACATCAGTCATCAAAGCTGAAAACCAGAGTGCTTCTATGTCTTAAAATATTGTGTGATAGCACAATTCTCTATTTGTATTATAACCCTATATGTCATATGTAATATAATAAAATGTTAAATTAAATGTAAAAGCTGCAGTGTAAATGATGGCTGCATTTGTTGTGTGTGTGTGTGTGTGTGTGTGTGTGTGTGTGTGTGTGTGTGTGTGTGTGTGTGTGTGTGTGTGTCACAGCAGCTACAGATAAAGCCACAATAAGCCTGCAGATCACACTTGTCAGTCTTGATGGATGATGCAGAGGCACGTTAACAGATTCACCAATGAGACGACACTTTTACTCACTTTGAAATGCTGCGTTATCTCAGTAAACCAAACTAAGAAGAAAGTGTAACAAATAAAGCAAATTAAACCCTCATTTCTGAATAAAACACTAGCAATAAATGCCCAAATTATTCATCAAAAGCTGTAATGACCCATTAAATTTTAAGTTAAATGCTAAAATAATCTATCAAATATACCAGATGGCTGCTTGAATGATTAATTAATTGCTTAAAGAAGGTATCAAGAAAAGGAAAAGTATAACGTATCATTTCGTTGCCATGCTTTGTGTATGAGTGTGTATGGATGTTTCCCAGTGATGGGTTGCAGCTGGAAGGTATGTGTTATTTTGTGATATATGTTGCGAAATGAATACAATTTCACCAGATGGGCATCCGCTGCGTAAAACATTTGCTGGATAAGTTGGCGGTTTATTCCACCGTGGTGACCCCAGATTAATAAAAGGACTACACTGAAAAATAAATGAATGAATCAACTTTTTCAATTTTAAAACTAAATCTTTACCTGATTTTACTGCAGGACTGCTCCATGATTGTGTGTGGGGGACACATTTGTGCACATGTAGTAATTATGTTCAACTTTAATTTTTTTAAACCCTCATCATATAAAATATGATGTTAAAAATAATTTAGAGGTACAATTTATACTTCTAGGTATTTATTTCGGGGAGCCTAAGCGGCCACTTACCTTATTTATTGCCTAAATCCACCCCTGATTTCTTTTATCTTCGCCATGATGGCAGCCCCTATTATTTGACTAGATAAGTGAATTTATAAGTGGCATTTAAAGGGTTCAAGTGCTGGTGATTCATTTCAATTCAGCTTTATTTGTATAGCGCTTTTAAAATGTGTGTCAAAGCAGCTTCACATAAATGGTCATAGTAACTGGATCAGGGTAGGTCAGTTTTAGTGTTTAAGTTCAGTTCAGTTTAGCTCAGTTCAGTGTGGTTTGAAGTCATTATTAAGAGTCCAAACACTGAAGAGTAAATTTATCGATGAGTAGCTGTTCAGATCCTGAACCATGCAAGACAGTGGCGACAGCGGAGAGGGAAAAAAAATTTCAGCAATAGGAGAGCAAAGAAAAAAAACCTTGATAGAACCAGACTCAGTTCGGCACGACCATTTTAATTTCTCCGCTGGCCAAAAGTCTTGTGCAGAGCTGCAGTCTCAGCAGTGGAGGCTGGAAGCTGGCCTCAGCGAAGACTCGTCTGTCCCTGGAGCGTCAATGGAATCAGTCTCTTACTCTCCACACCCCCATGACCAACAGTGCAGCAGCTTTGGTGACAATCGGAATAAAATATTGCCTAAGGGGGCTAGTAATATTGACCTTAAAATGGTGCTTAAAAATATTAAAAAACTGCTTTTATTCTAGCCAAAATAAAACAAATGAGACTTTTTCCAGAAGAAAAAATATTATAGGAAATACTGTGAAGGGGCGACGCAGTGGCGCAGTGGGTAGCACGTTCGCCTCACAGCAAGAAGGTCGCTGGTTCGATCCTCGGCTCAGTTGGCATTTTTGTGTGGAGTTTGCATGTTCTCCCTGCGTTCGCGTGGGTTTCCTCTGGGTGCTCCGGTTTCCCCCACAGTCCAAAGACATGCGGTACAGGTGAATTGGGTAGGCTAAATTGTCTGAAGTGTGTGTGTGTGTGTGTGTGTGTGTTTCCCAGAGATGGGTTGTGGCTGGAAGGGCATCTGCCGCGTAAAAACTTGCTGGATAAGTTGAAGGTTCATTCCGCTGTGGCGACCCTGGATTAATAAAGGGACTAAGCCGATAAGAAAATGAAAAAATGAATACTGTGAAAAATTTCTGAATCTGTTTAACATAATTTGGGAAATATTTGTAGGGCAAGGGCGAATAACTGTATATAAAGCTGTATTCAGCTGTGCAGGTCACAAACATGTGCTTTTTCCCTCATAATATTTCTCATTTATTGCCAACTTTAGGAGTCCTAGAAACGCTTCTGATGGCAAAAAATTCCACTTTTAATTCTCTGTGAGACTTTTTTTTTTTTTGCAGGCTGTACATTTTCTTCACACTTTAATAACCACCCACTCCTCTTTTTTTTCACCCACTCCTCAAGCACATATGTCAGATCTGTCGGTCGAGAGATGAATATTAGCAGCGTTCACAGATTTCCTGTCAGACAGGAGTAGTTAAAGGTAACTTCTGACACTCAGTGCTTTTAAAGTGTGGAGAGTGAAAAATACAAGACATGACAAGCAGAGAAACTGCACAAGCCTTGTTTTAGCAGAGCCAATGCTGCCACCACGTGGACACCAGCTGCACACTCTTATATTTAAAATGAAACAGCAGTTATGCTTTTGAGGTTCTGAACTCTTATTTAAGCCAGTTCTTGACGTTTTGCAGATTTAACCCTCGTGTATTGTTCAAACTGACTACACTTTCATTATGTTGCTGGCTGTTTTTGCCCTTTTGACCTCCATTATAGCCACACTGTTTGATTGCAAAGGCATGACCGCATATAATCATGCATTTTTGATTGTTGGTGGTTTTCCTTGGGAAGAGGTATTATCTGTAATTTTATGGTTGATCATCAGTTGAAAGCATTGATTAACCCTTTAGGATGCCCTGGCTTTTATATGGAGTTCTGTGGAGTATAACATCAGATAATAGTGTGTGCATCAATACACTTACTACGTTTACCAAGAGCTGAGTGGCTTATTTTGATTTTTATAGACATATCAAGATAAGGGTGCAAAGATCTCTCTTACACTCTCAAAACACACACACACACACACACACACACACACACACACACTATACTTCATATAACTCCATATAAAAGACAGAAACTAGGCTTTTTTTGCACTGTAACTTTTGATCAATAGTAAAAATGACACATTTGACCTCCTCCCAACAGGGAAAACCAGCAACAATCAAGAATGCAAAATCTGACATTGCATGTGTATGTGTGTGTGCGTTTATATATATATAAGCTATATATACGTTTATATATTTATAGTTATATATTTATAATTATAAATTATATATATCATATAAGTTAAAAGTTTGATACTGATTAGAACTTGAAGTGGTGGTGATGTCTTAAAATATTCTGAGAAGGTCTTTAAAAGGGTATTGAAATTATCTTTAGAATTCCTGTATATACTCTGTTTCAGAATATTGACATTTTCTGCTCTGACCACATTGTAGCTGTTTTTGTTGCCTGTGCTTTTAATGCTGGTTCTCCGCGCCCACCGTTATCCGGTCTCTGTCAGAGCGTGCCTTATGCCGAGATCAGACTGCATGATTTTCAAAGTAGTCGTGTCACCGATGTTTTCACACTGCATGACTGTCCGGGCTAGCGTTTTGTTGCTGCTTTGTTTACACTGCAAGATGGATCGGCGACAAGGGCTTTCACATTACATGACTTTACAATAGGAAGAGCTGCCGACAACTTTGTCCAAACTACAGACAATGAGCGCTTTAAACTTCTCCCTCAGCCTCCCGCTGGCCAGCGGGTACACACACACACACACACACACACACACAAGTGAATGCTGCTCTCTCATTGGCTGTAGGCGAACGCCGATGTTATTTTCCGTCAAAATTTCTTAAGGCATGATTTGAATCTCCGACAGCTCCAGATATTTAGCTCGCCAAATATCTCACAGGCATCGACGACACATCTGCCATTCTCTCAGATCGCATCTTTGATAATTCAAACAGTGTGATTGTTACTCACGTGCACGAGCATCAATTTGCCTGTGACTTCTGGCATTTGTCGGCGATTTCTTAAAGCCTGTCGGTGAGTCAAAATCGGGGTTACAATCAAGCCTGAACTCAGCATTAATCTCCGCCATAGCTTTGTCAGATAAACAGCACAGTGACAGACATAAAGGAAGCAGATCTCACTTAACATTTGTGAGAAATACTAATATAACAATTTTTCTAATGATTATTTGATGTATTTGTCACGCACGCACACACACACAATCAGCAGACACACACACATACAGCATGCGCATCTAACTTTGCAATGTTTTTGCATTCAAGTGTTACGGGACACAGGTCAATATTCACTTCTCTATGGATATCCTTTATGTTAATGTACAAATTAAACCTGATTTCACGTCCACAAACCGGAATTAAAGTGTCTATAATTTATTGACATGCGGATGTGGTGATATAGATAGTAAATCGCTGTAATTTATTACAAACATGCTCTGTTTTACAAACATGTTAAACTTGTGAAACTCATTCGTGATCACATTTGATGCTGATTGATGATCACAGAG